TCCTCTTCTCTATAACAGACGTAGAGCTTAATGTCATCCGCATAAATCTGTACACTCACTCCACCCAAAGTCAAAAGGGAAGGTACTCCAGAGTGAAGATAAGAAAAAGAAGAGGAGAAAGTACCCCACCCTGGGGTACTCCACTAGTACAGTGATATCTATTGGAAAAGGACTGCCCAACCTTGACTGTAATAAATCTATTTTCAAAATAGGATCGGAACCAGTGTGATAATTTTCCATCTATCCCACAGCTTTGTAATTTGGATAATAGTACATGATGAGGAATCTTTTCGAATGCTTTCGATAGATCCACATAGACAACATCCACAGATAACCCTGCATTAAGGGCTTTTCTCCAATCAGAAACACTTGCAACAAGATTAGTAGTAGTTGACCTACCAGATAAAAAGCCATGAAGCTCAGGAGGTATTGGATGGAAATTTCTTAGCCAACGAAACAGTTTCTTTCTGATGATTTTTTCCATAACTTTGATTGGAGTGGGCGTCAGACTTATGGGACGAAAATCAGATACTGTAGAAGCAGATCCAGTTTTTGGGATTGCAACAACAATGGCTTCCTTCCACAAACTGGGTACTTCACAAAAATCAATGGAAAGATTGAATAGCTCAGAGAGAGGTTTTGAAAGTGAGTCAGCACACTTCCTGTAGACAATAGGAGGAATACCATCGTAAGGCTCAGTGCATGATGAGCTAAGAGACCCCAAAATAGCATGAACATCAGCTGACCGAAAATGTATAGTATTACAAGTTTGGGGAAGATCAGAACGGTTAACAGAAGAATCATTTCGGAGATCTTGTGATACAGAGAAAACACTTGCAAAATATCTGCCTAACGCTTCTGCTTTCTCACCGTCATTCACATAGCTGTTCCCACTATCATCACAAAGAATGGGGAGAACAGTACTGTTCTGAAGCTTATGCCGCAAATAACCAAATAGTTTTTTAGAATTTTTACTACTTGATAATCTACGTTCAAAGTTTGATAGAAACTTTTTTAAATGAAAGGCTAAATCAGAGCATACTTCTTTATACAAATGGTTTGATAAAGCATCATTCATTTTACTGAACAAATTGTGTTTTTGGTCAATAAGATCAACTATATGTTTAGGATAGCGAATGTCATTGAATCCAGAAATTTTTAGGCGTCCATATCTACTTAAGCCTTCATAAATTTTTGAACAAAAAGCTTGGTAATATTCATTAAGCCCCGAGCAGTTATCATAAACCGTATCCCAGTTGACATTTGCATAGTACTCATTAAGACCTGCATAGTCAAAATTGGGAAAGTCAGGAATTGGATACAATGCTTTACCACAACAGCTTCCTTCTACTTGGAATCGTATGACATTATGGTCAGCAGAAGCAATAGGAGGATAGATTGCAACATTATTGATATTCTGGGAATTTGAGAAGATCAAATCCAAAGTTGCATTACCATGAGTTGGTTTGCAAACAAATTGTTCAAAACCACAATCTTTGAAAAATTCAAATAGCGGCTTGGAACTTTGATCAAGCGTAATATGATTCTTCCAGTCAACGTGGAGGTTGAAATCTCCCAATAAAACAACAGCTTCGGATCGTATTGATATGAGACTGATCAATAGTTCAGCAAGTTGTTCATCATCACGCTGTGTACTGCTCGGAGGACGATAAATGTTAATGAACTTAAGTAGGCTGTAGCTGGAGGGGCAAAAGAGTTCAACGGATAGCAAATCGATATTGGATACCGTAAAATGACTTATTTTTTTTAATGGAAATATCATTCTTAACAAGGCAACATACACCTCCCCCGATTCTTTTACACCTATCTGTACGATGGATAGAATAGGGCAAATCATTCACAACTTCAGAATCTCGTATTTTGGAGGTAAGCCATGTCTCAGTTATAAATACCAAATCTGGTTTATGTCGGCAAAGGAAAGAGTGGAGGTGGTCTATTTTATTTACAATACTGCGTGAATTGAATAAAAAACAATTATAACCCATGAAGTAGATTTCAAAAATTTCGCGACCTATTCTGGTGGGGGAAAGTCCTCCCCCCCCCTTCGGTCCGCCACTGTACCATAACCATACTCTTTGTGCTTGAGTGGACCTCATTTTTGCGTTCAAAGGCAGCGTCCAGGCAAACCTGGACCCATGGGGATTTTACGTGGAAAGTAATTTCTGGACCCTATAAGGTACTGCCCAAGCGGCAGCGCAGGTGACTCACTGACTGAGATACGATTTCAAACTGAACCCCAGGATTGTATTTCGCATGCATTCATGGCGCAACCCATCAATTTCGCTCAGAACCCACGCGAAACTGATGGGTTGCGCCAAGGATACTTGCAAATACGATCCTGGGGTCCACTATCGAGGGGGATATCTCAGGCGTTAGAGCACTACCTGAGCTGCCGGTTGGGCAGTGGCTTAGTTAGGGCCCCAAAATTACTATCCGCGTGAGATTCCCCATATATCCCATATCCATATTTGCCTGGACGCTGCCTTCAAAGGCACCGTCCACCAAGATTCTCGGCTTCCTTTTTTTGTCGTTTCAGAGCCTTCTCATGTCCCTGATTCCGAATATCATCGAAAATCCGCGAAAACCCCGACAACCCCGTTTCGGAGAACCCGCAGGGCGAGTTGTGCGGAACGGTGATTGGTTAGGTGCGCTCAAATGGGCGGGACGAACGTCACGCCCACTCAAAGGGGAGGAAAGCGATTTTTAAAGCAAATTCTCGCTTGAAAAGCAACTTCTGGCAGCGCGAGTTGAGCAACTATGCAGCTGGGGGTCACACTACTGCTAGGCATCAAATTCTCATCGACCACATTTTGGGTGGAGGGGCTTTCAAGACAGATTTAGGATGGGTCATATCTCAATGTGCTCTAATTTTGTATTTTGCATAACGAGGTTAGACATGTTAGCTAATAAGGTTTTCATTACACCAATATCACTTCGACTACCTCGACGTAGCCCCTAATCTCGTTGACCCTTCGATACCACCTCCCAGGTGTGGCGTGCCACTCTCACGCTTAACCCTGGCTAAATTCCGATATTGATTTTTGCTGTAGCTAAGCCAAGATGGTATGATCTTTTTATTGATGGCTGACGTTTCGGCGTCTTCGCTTTCGTCGGAGCCTGGAAATCAAAGACCATTTAGTGACATACCCCCTCAGACGCCGCATCTGACCACAGCGATCAATTCAAGGGATCAAATGAGATCAAAAGCGGTATGTGAGGAAAGACAAAGCAAACGCTCACCGTAATACAGCGGTTTTAGAGCCAAGACCACCCGAATGAGAGGAAGTGATTGGCCACTGCGAATATTGCGCATATTTAAGGCCCGAGGGCCCGCCAACGCAGCCCGCCAACGCAACCTTACTGAGTTAGATCAAAATTACATAAGGTCTGGTAGGATGCGAGCTCTTGTGTCACGGTTATGCACTCTTCTTTCCTGTTTAATTTTGGGCTTTTTGCAATTATCCAAAACGCTTCGAGAGTTTTGCGAGCTACAGTTTCCGGCTCGTACGACAAGATCGTGACCTTAATATCAAACATAGCATCACCGTGGCTCCTTTGGCGGTGCGCTCCCAAAGGCGTTGAGGATTTTGACTTCCTGAGGCCATCCGGATGTTCCTTGATCCGAACTGAAAGCGCTCGCCCTGTTTCCCCAACATACATCTCATTACACGAGAGACATGTTATCAGGTAAACTACCCCGGTTGCGGTGCAGTCGCCATCCTTACCATAGGGGCATATTGCGCAGTTTGGGTTCAGGCAAAGGCGATCATATGCTCGGTGTCGCACTAGCCACCGCTTCAGGTTAGAGGGTGGAATATCCACAACTCTTACGGTCTTCGCCTTCGTCGGAGCCTGGAAATCAAAGACCATTTAGTGACATACCCCCTCAGACGCCGCATCTGACCACAGCGATCAATTCAAGAGATCAAATGAGATCAAAAGCGGTATGTGAGGAAAGACAAAGCAAACGCTCACCGTAATACAGCGGTTTTGGAGCCGAAGACGCCGAAACGTCAGCCATCAATAAAAAGATCATACCATCTTGGCTTAGCTACAGCAAAAATCAATATCGGATTACCATGCCAAGATTCAGAGAAGGTCGAACCTTTGAAATTTTGAGACAAGTACCTGGCTATATTCTTCAGCTAAGAAGGGAAGCGTGTATAGTCGAAGTGGCCTTTTCAGATGAGACCCACACCGCTTTGGCGAGCTTTGCTCAGTGATTCCAAATCTGCCTTCACTACCTTCATTATCGCCGAAACGTCAGCCATCAATAAAGAGATCATACCATCTTGGCTTAGCTACAGCAAAAATCAATATCGGATTACCATGCCAAGATTCAGAGAAGGTCGAACCTTTGAAATTTTGAGACAAGTACCTGGCTATATTCTTCAGCTAAGAAGGGAAGCGTGTATAGTCGAAGTGGCCTTTTCAGATGAGACCCACACCGCTTTGGCGAGCTTTGCTCAGTGATTCCAAATCTGCCTTCATTATCTGCCAAGCGCCTTTGGACGCCGAGTTATGGGCGTTTTTCGGGTCAAAAAATTGAATGCAAAACTGAAGCAAAATCGCCCGAATTTCCTCAAATGACCAATGTCGAGTATCAGAGCAGTTCACGCGATGGATACATTCTGCCTAATATGCTAATACTTAACCCTGCTTTATCTGAGCGCTGGAAAGATTGTACCATTCGATTTGACCCGAATTTTGCGTTCATTCTTCTCCAAAAAACGGTCATAACTCGGCGTAGAGGCCCTTGGCAGATAAAGAAGGCAGATTTTTAATCAGTGTGCAAAGCTATTCAAAGCAGTATGGGTCCCATCTGAAAAGGCCACTTTGACTAAACACACTTCCCTTGTAAGCATAATGTCATAAATCCTGCGATGATTAAAAGGAGAAACAAAAATATATTAATTCGTTTTATGTGTACTATTGGTACTGAAACAGGATATGCATATAACTCTTTTGAAACAATGTCTTCAATTTTTCTTTTTCTTTCTCTTGTCTTCTCTGCTGAGAGCCACTACAGTCTTGCTCTGAAACATACTGGATTTGCTAATTGTATAACAAGTTTGTCTATGACTTACAACTACAGCATTCATGTCGTAGCCTCTTTTGAGGAATCTTGAACGGAAACTGTAAATTTTCATGTCATTACAGGTAGGTTCTATTATGAAAAAAATTGTCTGATCAGATACATAGTCTCGAAAAAAAAAAACAGATCGGACTGTAGTAAACTCCCTCAACATCAAATGGTCTCCAGCCCAATTTTACATTCCTCAGTCAAAATGACGATCGAACCATCCCTCTATGCTTTAGATAGGCTACATGAACTGCAGTTGACCAGCCGGCGCCGTAAATTAAGAATGGATCGGTTAGCAGTCGTAGATAGTGTGCCAAGGTGGAGAATTGAAGAAAAGTCCTACGAGACGCGACAGTTGACGTAATGCCACGGTTGAGAGTCCACAAAGCTGCACAACTTCGCGCTACGGAAGGATCGATGAACAGCTGATTGCAGCCAGAAAAACAAGAGAACAAGTTTTATCTCTCTTTCTTTGCAGGTTTGGTTCAATTTCTTGGAAAACTGCATAGAATGAGAGTTTACCCAAATCATTTCATTGTAATTCTGTTTGAAAATATTGATATTCCATGGATATTCATGCCGGAATATCACAATTTTGTTTTGTTTACCCATCTGCTAGGCGAAATTTTTGATAGCAGTCACCGTCGATTTTTATAGTGGTCATTATCGAAGACTGCGTCGAATTGCAGCAAGGATGGTTCTCTACCCGATCTTGAACTACGGCAGCTGCGTCTGCATTGCAGTCATTTATCGGTTTTTGCACAAACTACAGCAGTTTTTTTTAGACTTAGGTAGTTACTCAATTACGGGCCTCGGTATTCAAGCTCAAGATAAACGGTGCCTTTAACATTTTTAAATACATAAAACAACTTATAAGACAAGCTACCTAACTCGGCCTTTTGGTAAAAGACATATATATTCTGAATCAGCTTCAAACGCTGATTCCAAATATGCATTCCTAGCTGCCACGCACCATTCCGAAGCGATATGGGCTTTTTCCTACGCAAAATTGGCATACTACTGAACATGAGAAAACTGCCTGTAGATACAAATCTGCAAGAAAAAACAAATTCAATTTTTTTCTCACTAAAAAAAGCTTATCGCAGGTGTATCAGCACTTAAATGATGATGACGTGATGCCCCTGAGTCGATGAGCATGCCAATTTTGCGCAGTAAAAAGCCCATAACTCGCTTTGGAATGGTGCGTGGGAGCTAGGAATAGCATATTTGGAATCAACGTTTGAAGCTGATTCAGGCTATATATGTCACTTGCCAAAAGGCCGAGCTAATTTAGGTAGCTTCCCTTGTTGGTTATTGCCGATGAAGAGAAAGTATACAGTTCATATAGGCAAATCCAGAGCTAGGCGAATTGTCGTACTTTGTGTCACAGTACCAAATTAACGATTTTAGCGGATTTAATTACTCATTTCAGACCGCGATTTAGCGCACGTCGAGAAAGCTTGCACTTCGGACGGTCGCTCAACAAAGAAACCTAATTTCGTGCACTGATTATTATATCTGTAATGAGCTAAGCTATGTGCCCAAAGTTTCGGGCAGATTCAAAGCTTGAATTTTGCCATTCGAGAGGGACTGCTGCGGTCTCATAGATCAAAAAATCCAAACTCAAATGTCAATCAAATTCGCCTATGTCGTACATGGTGCACATTGTTAATACAAACACTTATTCGTTTGGACATTGAAGCGATACGCACGTCACACGTTTCGTTCGCATTGCCGCACTATCTTGCAACTATTATTCGATTTTTTGTACATCATAAACGGACGATGGCGATACAGTTTTAGAGTTAAGTTGCAGCACGGATTGTGGGCCTGTAACATGACATCATTGGACTGTGAAAAACTTCCCCTAGAACAAGGCCCGGCACAAGTCGGTTTCTAAGGTTTCTGGACACGAAGTCCCCGTAACTTTCGAAGTTATACGAAGTCCCCTTTGACCTACCTACCTGGGAAAAGATGAAAACAAGGAATATAGTCTGAAAGAAAAAACAAAAAATAAGGGTGAAAATCCAGACTGGAGCTGAATACCACGCATGCACAAGAGTTTGGCATTGGAGCGCAATATGTAACAGCGCGATTTATGAAGAGATTAAGGCAAAAAAAGGCAGTGGAAAATGTTTTCATGCTTAGGGATAGATTTTTGACCGGAGAATCCGCCCATGATAGAAAAATCCAAAACTTATGTGTCGTGACAAAAATATATGCTCCAGACGATCTCAAATCGTCTAGTGACCGTCTAGAGGCGAACTAATTTTGGGAAAGGTAATATTTCACATAAGTTTTCGAATCTCTTTGCATAATTCTGTTCCAAATAATTTTCTATATATATATTTCATATTTGGTGTCCTATGATTCTGTGTACACTGTGAACAAGCAGTTTGTTCATTTTAGCGTCTTTCAAATCGCGCGCACTTTTCGCCATACACAATAGAGCATGTCAATCGTGTGATAACCTGTCCGAGCTTGTGTCGACTAAATGGCGCTTTCTTGGTGCTCGGCATCAACTCGTCAAAAACGATATCTCCTTTGCTTTTTGTTCCAACGAAGTCCAGCCTGCTTTTAGACTATCTGTGCCGGGCCTGCCCTGGAATCCACGAAGGCCCTTCAAGGCAGCGTGCTGCAGCATATGCTGCAGTGGCCCGAAAGTGCTAAGTTAGACTACCGAAACCAAGCAAAAAAGCAGTAGGTCATATTATAGAAAATTTGGATTTGGCAGGTAATAGTAACTTAAGACTTGTTTTTCAAATCACATGGGATGCTAACAAACTAACCTGCTCAGGAACTTGGATGTAAGGTCATTCCTGGGGAATGAGTGGCGCACTATCCATGTCCGTGCAGCAACATCTCGCTGGTACTCAGTGAGTACCTGAGTTGAGATTGTATACGAATATTCATAGCGGGACTCACCTCATCAGGAGTAATTTTGAAAAAATCTGCGACTACTGCGACTTGCACGCTGTACCATGCCACGGGTTGGATTGGTTGCATGAAATCGGAGACCGGCACATAACTTTCCTCTATGTCTAGAGCCGCCTTAAAAAACCGTTCACCCCAGTCTCAAAACCTCTACAACAATTAGGCAGCTTGCGAAAAGATAGGGGAAGTTGGGAAACTGTCGAAATAGGTGTTTACTTCTCTGCTTCTCATATTTGTGGCGAATGGCGATGGATGCCCCCTACTCCGAAATTGAATCGCGAAACAGGGTCACAATTCCGAAAGATTTGGGACTTAAGCATTGCTACAAAGAAGTGGAGAATCATCATAACTAATGATGAAGAGCTATAGGTTGTTATCTTTTTTTTTCGTGTGTGTACAGAAGCATGGTCCTACTTCTTTGCTTCCACTTTTTCTGAAACCTTTTTGTCAGCGCAGCGAAAGCAAACGGACGACGTAAATGCGCGTAGATAACTTGTGTTCATTGAAAAAAAAAACTCGTTGAACTTTGACAACGCCAAGAAAAGATAGCTGCAACATTAGTTTTCTCTCTTCTTTTTCAAGTAATACATCTACCAGGGGCAGTATGTATCAACGCCTTCTGGGTAATGGTTCCCTTTCAGGTAGTGCCCGCTTCATAGCTAGTGCTCTGGGGACCTGTCTTCTTCCTTGTGTCCATCTTTTGGTGGCCCTACTATCCTAATATGGTAGCATAATGAATGACAGCATTTTGCTGTATAAGCTGAGAATCTCGGTATCTTGTATGATCCCAACGGAATCTTCAGGGAATCACTGCTCATTTTAGAAGTCATTTAGCTCTGCAAAAACTCAATGAAAACTTCGTAAAGTTGTACTTTGATCTATCATGACAGTGCTGAGCATTTTTACGGAAGTAATACCCTAAAGTCTTACAGATAAGTCCGTCTTTTTGACACAAAAAATCGATGAAAATTTGCCATCGCGCCGCCAAAGGTCTTGCAGATAAGTCCTCCCAACTGATAAGTCCGGACTTATTTGTGAGTATAGTACCGAATATTCGTGTTCGAATAGTTTATTCGAAATATTCGACTATTCGAATATTCGAATAGTCGAATATTTGAGAAAGTCCATTTATTCGATTATTCGAATAGTCCAATAAATGAAAGAGACCTATATTCGAATAATTCGTTCATTCGACGATTTCGAAAAATGACTTATTCGAATCGTTCATTCGAGGAGTTTTAAAAAAGGTTATTCGAATATTCGTTCATTCGAGTAGTTTTGAAAGGTAGTTATTTGAATATTCTTATATTCGAATATTGCATTCAAATATTCGAATAATATTCGAACATTTATTCGAAATTAGTCGAATATTCGATCAAGTCCGGTTATTCAAGTATTCGTTCATTCGAATTTTGGAATGTGCCAATATTCGAATATTCAAATTCGAATAAAATGAAGAACGAAAGTTGAATAATATTCGTTCATTCGAAGAATTTTCGAAAATCAAGCATTCGATATTCATTCGTTCGAAAATTTCAAAAAGTTGATTATTCGATGTTCGTTCATTCGGCGAAATTTTCCGTTCGTTACAACTATATTTGTGAGGGTTGAGCCAGAATGGAGGTACGAGCGTACGTGACGTACGCAGCGTACGCTCGTATGTTTCATCATAAAAGCGTACGCGGGGTACGCCGTGCAGTTTGGCCCAACCCTTAGACTTTAGGGTAGTTACAATGGAAAGAAAGCGGACTTATCTGAAGAGCCCTATTTGAGTAAAAAACGGGCTTATCTGACGGCGGACTTATCTGTAGACGGACTTATCTGGTGGGAGGACTTATCTGTGAGATTTTAGGGCAAGCGAAACTCAAGTTAACAAAATCTTTGACGAACTTCTGCTCGCAAATTGGAAGTCATCAAAAAGCTCCAAGCCTCCAGATTTCATCTACTGCAAGCATGCTCAGCACTCTCATAATAATCAAAAGCATAACTTTACGAAGTTTCATTGAGATTTTACAGAGACTTCGAAGAAGAGCAGTGATTCTCTGAAGATCCCGTTCGGGGTCATACATGATACCGAGAATTTCAGCTTCTACAGCAAAGTGCTGTTATTTATTATGCTACCATATTAGGATAGTGAGGTTTCTAAGGGCCGCATGTATTGACATCCCCGCCGGGGAGGGATCGCAGCTTCAGAAGGCTTCATATCCTGAAGCTCCAGATATCTGAATCTCACGCTGTCTACCTATCCGTAAGTAATCCCACCATCCTTCACTATGAAAATCTTGAACGGGAGCAAGAAGCTATACAAGCCGCATTTTCCAGCTTTTTGTACCATCTTTGATGATCCCTGCGGCTGACCATCTTTTCTTCGAAGAGTGATTTTTCTTTCTTCAAAGTTAGCGAAAACACTGCAAAGTTGTACGGTTCATCTAGCCCAACATCGCTAATCATGCTTCTGGTAAGAACAAGTGATGTTTCGAAGTCATGAATTTTGCGATGAACCACAAGTCACAACCTAGGGTTTATCGAAAAAATCGATATAAAAACTTATCTGTTCTTATCAGCAACATGCTTAGCATTGTTGGGTTGGATAATCAGTACAGGGGATCATACAAAAAGCTGGATTATGCGTCTTGTACAGCTTCTTGCCCCTGCTCAATATGTTCATGGTGAAGGATGGTAGGAATACTTGCGGACAGGTAGACAGCGTAAAATCTAGATATCTGGAGTTTCGGGTTATGAAACTTTCTTCTGAAGCTGTGATTTCCTCCCCGGCGGGGATGTTGATGCGTGCGGCCCTAGATGGATAAACGAGGAAGAATACGGATCCCCAGAGCACCGAGCTACGAAGCGGATACTACCTGAATGGAAACTCTACGCGTAAGGCCGATTGATATATACCGCCCCAGGTTGTCCCATAAGCTCCGTCCGTTCACACATTCTCCCTAGTAACTCCCATTTTATTCCTGCTTTATTCTTATTTTACTCTATTTTTTCCACTTCATTTCCCACTTTATTTTTATCCCACTCGCACTTTATTTTTATTCCTGAAAAGTTTTGACATGCCATCTGAGAAAAGCAATCTACAAGGTAGTACTAACTTCAAATACTGGCCCGATCCTGATTCCACAGCAAGTTTGGAATCAAAATCCAAAAACTTTAGGAATTGTGGATCGAAAATTCAAAATTCTGCTTAGAAAATTTCGAAGAGCCTGAAACTTGTTCACGAATATATACTCCTTATTCAATAGCAATAGCACAATTGCTGCAATTTTTCTAAGGCTAAAAATCGAAAAAACGAAAATTTGGCATGGTTTCATCAAAGGGATGGTGAGCTTTTTCCACGTAGGTAATTCTATGACATGAACCTATAGAAGTACGACCACAATGTTATAGCCTCCTAAGCCTTCTACAACCGACAAAATGTTAGATTCAACGTAAAAACCCGTAGGAAACATTCTCGCATTTTCGTATTTTTGGTCCATTTTTGTTATCCAATTTTGGTCGTGGAGAAAATACGTGGCTGTGCGACAGATGAGCAGTGTGAATTTGCGAACAAGTTTGAGGCTGTAGAATTGTTTTCAGCAAAGTTTGAGTTTTTGGGCTTACGAAAATTTTAGTTTCTAATTTCAAATCAATTGGGGAGCCTTGTGCGATCGTTTAAGCACAGAAGAGCTTGCTTTTTTCTATAAAAAGGTACCTTATAGTTCTTTGAGAATCATGAAAAGTGGGTTTTAAAAACAAACAGGACTTATGGGACAATCTGATAAAAGATAAAGAAATTCTAAGAGGATGCACCCAGTAATACTCTCGAGATGAAAACGGAGCGCGCGTTCTGATGCTTCCCTTGTCTGTATAGTTACTAGTTTACGCAGCAAAGATTATTCAATGTATAGTTAGAAGTTAAGTCTATTTGTGATGATCGACATTATCCGGCGAGTTTCGAAGACTTTTTATTTGAATGAGCATGGAAGTCACACAGGCTAGCAGTAATACCAAGCTTCTACAAAACAAATGTGATGCAGTGGTGACCTATTATAGGCCGTAGGGTCCTGTGAAATTGCTTTGTAACGACGACACAGTGAGGGAGGATTTACGATTTACAATGCTTGATGCATGAGTGAGTTTATTTTTGTTTGTTTCAGGAACTTGGAGTCACTCACCGGATCTCGAACGACCTATGTAAGTGAAACTAGCGTAAATTCCATAACGGTCAATGTAAACCCTTGCGAAGGCAGAGGTGGCGCATTGTTAAAAACATGTGATTTTGTTGCTTAAGATGTTCACCATATCACGCTTGGAATAGAAAGTGTTGTTATGGTTCCAATCAATCGATATGTTGCTTCAAGGGTGACTTTTTAAGGAGGCAAACCGAAATGCTAGGAGTTACTTCCTTCTTTGAAGACAATGGCTAAGCAGAATCCCTCCTCAAGAGTACTCGGAAGGCGACTATACGAAAAATGCAAGCGCCGCAAATTTCCATCATTTAACGCACTGTCACCTGTGACATTGTATGATGTATGAGCCTCAATCCGCATACCTTTTTTTACGCAAAGGAAACCTTAGGGGAATAGTATTTATAGGCCACGATTTTCGGAAAAGTTGCTTTGCGCATCACACCCAACTCAACGTGTAGGATACTCCCGCCCTCTCATGATATTGCTAACCACTTTAATGCGGAAAGCTAACTCCTTCACCTCTTCTTGTCGACGTATTCGAGGCGCACAGCTATTCACTTTGGCTCACGTCGCCATCGGTCATGCTTATGTCCGCGGAGCGCGGCTCCTCGGACTTGGATTCTTTTTGCATCTCAACTATAGTTTATAGATTCTTTCTTGTATCTCAACTACAGTGCATCTTCTCCTTTCTTCTAGTGATGGGCTGTTTATGGTTTACTCATAGACATCTCGTTCTCTTTTAACTAAGACTGATATGACATTGATACCTGCATCGCGGATGCTGTGAAGAAGTTCATCGATGCAAAGTCATCTCGCATGTAGATGTAAGAAGTATACAAACCACGATGTACCCTTTGATTCAACGGAATTGACAGCTGGAAGGCGGGGTTTTGCGTGATCAAGGTAGAGAATGATATAGGAGTACCTAGCGAGAGAGATGTAGACTGCGTCACGGAGGCAAGCGGTCGCCTTCCAGCCGCCAATCCCGTTGTGTCAAAGGGGAGGTGGCTCGAATAGTGAACTATCAACTACATTAATGAAGTAACAAGGAGAAAGTGGTTGTAAATAAGTTTTGAATGTAACACGAGGAGGTAATGGTACTTTGAAGAGTTTACTCTTGAACTCACTTACATGTTCTTCTCTAGTTTGAAACTATATTAAACTATACTAACCAACTACGTTTTGAAAACTAGTGTCCAAGCTAAATTCGATAAAAGCACCATATTCACAATCTGAAATCTGTATAGCAAAAACGTAGCCGGAGATTAGTATTTATCAATTCAGCCTAAAAGCAGTTACAAATATAAAAAATCTCTCGTTCATTTGATCAACAGCTGATGTGCTGCTAGATACAGTGCTGGCCAAAACTATATGTCCACTTTGAAAACTGCCGTAGCTCATCTGCTTCTCAACGAGTTGATCTGAAATTTGGTATAGTTGTGTGTCTAACAGGCTACCATCAGTAACATCAGTAACGTAATCCTGTTTTTGTTTGATTATTCAGAAAAAAAATCAAAATTTCGAAAAAAGCAGGCTTGAAGGTTGGCCAAAATTATAATTCCACCAGAGGTTTCTGTCCGCTGAAGTAATTCTCGGCTTCCAGACTCTTTTGTGCATATACATAATCAAAAGTCCAAATAGTTGCTTTAGTCCAGCTGTATCATATCTTTATAAAAAACGCTTATCTGCTTTTTTTGCTGAAAAATACTCTCATGGGTATTTTGTTCCAGAGAATGTGTTTTTATGGGTGATTCCGAAGTTTTTTGACTGGTTTGGAAGCGATAGGGCTCCATCTTTCTTAAGAGGCTTAGCGAAGTGAAAACTAAAAAGAAAGTTTGAGTTTTCATATTCAAAGCGCACCCGACATAGACCTAACCGCCAGCCTGCGCTCAAATTTATGCCTTCAAACTCTTTCTGCAATGTTCTCATAAGCGTAGAGTAATAACATTCTTGTACATATGAGAGTCCGGATGCAGTGGTTGCAGATTTCCTCAGATCCTAGCATGCAGGCTAATTGAGAAATTCAACCTGCAAAAACTGATTTGCAAGAAGCCTTGAACTTATTTTTAGTTCTGACTGTAATGCTCACGTAAGTCACAAGGCAGCAAACAATGCAGGGTGTTTTCACTGTCTAGCAGCTGAATTGTGGCAAAATCAGGAAAGATACCACTTAGTAAGTACTTTGGGATTGCCTGAATATTATCATTGAACCGCGAAGATTTGTGCTTTGAAAACAGCAAAATGTGACTTGGTGAACAATTTTGAGTATAGTGGCAAACTACTTTTTCATGTAAATAATGCTTCTACATAATTTTGAGCTTACAAAAATAACATAAACTAATTTTAAAGACAGAAATTTGAGCGCAGGCTTGCTGTTAGGTCTATGTCGGATGCGCTTTAAATATGAAAACTCAAATTTTTTTCTAGTTCTCACTTCACTAAGCATCTATAAGATAGATGGAGCCCTATCGCTTCCAAACCAGTCAAAAAACTGCGGAATCACCCATAAAAACACATTCTCTGGAACAAAATACCCATGAGAGTATTTTTGAGCGAAAAAAGCAGATAAGCGTTTCTTATAAAGATATGATACAGCTGGACCAAAGCAACTATTTTGACTTTTGATTATGTATGTGCACAAAGACTCTGGAAGCCGAGAATTACTTCAGCGGACAGAAACCTCTGGTGGAATTATAGTTTTAGCCAACCTTCAAGCCCGCTTTTTTCGATTTTGATTTTTTTCTGAATAATCAAGCAAAAACAGGATCCGGTCTAGTTGCTGATGGTAGCCTGTTAAACACACAACTATATCAACTTTCAGATCAATTCGATGAGAAGCAGATGAGCTACATTAGTTTTCAGGGTGGACGTATAGTTTTGGCCAGCACTGTATATACCGCGATTCGCAGCCATCATTGCAGGTAGTATGCGATACCATGCACAATGCGTGGAGTCTGGTTCGCTAAGCGCTGAAAAAACTGGAAACGCAAGAGAAGAACACAGCGTAACCGCCATATTTTTGCTCTGCAGAAAGGGTATACACGATATTCTAGCCAAAACGACCATGCTTATGCACCATTCTCCAACCACTTTCAAGTCTGAGGGCTTGGCAGGCAATCAGTGAAACAAATACAGCGTAAGAAAGCGTCGGTCCACGATAGCATGAGAGTTTCAAAGAGACAGACTCACGAAAAGCAGTTGTGCAGCGCAAATTATGCAAAATAACTATTTTACAACTATTTCGTCGCAGTTCGATTGGAAAAATCACTGAGCATTTTGACACTACAAAGGATGATCTTCTATGACAGTGAGAAAAAGAAGAAGATAAACTATAGTTGAGATACAAGAAAGAATCTATAAGCTATAGTTGAGATGCAAAAAGAATCCAAGTCCGAAGAGCTTGCCGCGCTCCGCGGACATAAGCATGACCGGGGTGATGTGAGCCAACGTAAATTGCTGTGCGCCTCGAATACGTCCTTCTTGTCACACCCAGCTAAGTCTCAGTGTCAGCATGCTTCCAGTCAAGATGAGGCCCTGCAGCGACTACGTTTTTAACACCGACTATGAGCAGGGTAAAGCGGGGGGTGCGGCACGCCGCAGAGGGGGGGTCGTATTGAGGAGTCAAAAGGGGAGGGGGTCGTAGTTAGGTGATCTGATTATAGCGATAACATGATATTCGTATCATATCCATAATTAGCACGTCAATTAACCCCTGTAGACAAAGTGTGAGCGAATTCTGAAGATTCAAGATACTAGGCTACCTAAGTGAAATGGTCAAATTCCAACATGGTTAACTTTGTTTTAAAGGTGAATTAGCTATCCGTTTTTGCACTCAAGACAAAGCACTACTCCTTCTTTGTCCACCTCAGGAATCCCGCTTCAGAAGACCTCCAAACTGTGGAATTAGAAGCCAACCAAAATCTCATTTTTCCCATTTTTCGCTTTTGATGGCTGTGCTTTCACCAAATAATACTCAGAGCTAAGAAGACGAATCAGGCTCAAAACATCCCTATGGAATCTAAGAGGTTTAGGCTATCGATTCATATAAATATTGTCCGCTAAAAATGTTTTTTTGATATAGTTAATGGCCTGCGGCACCCCCCCCCCCCCCCCTCAAAACCTGCGGCTGCCGCAGGGGTGCCGCAGGGGTGCCGCAGGGGATTAACTATATCAAAAAAACATTTTTAGCGGACAATATTTATATGAATCGATAGCCTAAACCTCGTAGATTCCATAGGGATGTTTTGAGCCTGATTCGTCTTCTTAGCTCTGAGTAATATTTGGTGAAAGCACAGCCATCAAAAGCGAAAAGTGGGAAAAATGAGATTTTGGTTGGCTTCTAATTCCACAGTTTGGAGGTCTTCTGAAGCGGGATTCCTGAGGTGGACAAAGAAGGAGTAGTGCTTTGTCTTGAGTGCAAAAACGGATAGCTAATTCACCTTTAAAACAAAGTTAACCATGTTGGAATTTGACCATTTCACTTAGGTAGCCTAGTATCTTGAATCTTCAGAATTCGCTCACACTTTGTCTAAGGGGGTATTTGACATGCTAATTATGGATATGTTGTCCATTATGTTTGACAGAGCCTTCAGGTAATACTATCTTAAGTGTATAGTTTAGGAGGGGGTCTTATTAAGACAGCAATCAGGGGGGGGGGGTCGTATCCGACGGTCGAGTGCCGCACCCCCCGCTTTACCCTGACTATGAGAAGAGCTGTTTACAGAGGTCATATATTCCGCGGTCTGACCAAGACCATGTTCCGCGCTTTGACTAACCTACTGCGAGTCTTCTTTCCAACGCCCTTTCTCGAAAATAGAACGCATTTTTAGCTCTTCAATCTTTTAGGGCACAGTTACAGTGCATGGGAAAGTCGACACGACTGTTCAAAAAATGGAGTTTTACGATAGGTGTCTCAAATTTTTTTTCTTATTTCAAAATCAGTTTTCCCTAGAAAGTATGGCACCTACAGGGGTACAAATTTATGATCGCAATTCCCAGAACCGTTCGGGGAGAAGTTTGCCATTTCACTCTCATCATTTTTTCTTTATTTTCAACCGTGGAGGAATCGTGTTTAGTTGAATATCTATTGTGTCAAGCATATGCCCGAGTGGGGAATACTTAGAATGTTTTAGGACTGACAAGGGAAGGATACTTGGTCGAAGTGGGAATTCCATATGAAAAGCATAATGTCTTATAGAGCATGAAAGCCATTCCAACTCTTCTTTCGGTATCTCAAAGCGACAGCTTCTTACAAGGGAACGATACTTGGTGTCCGCGGCCTTTTGAGAAGAGATGTATACCACTACATTCGTACTGGAGCGCTGAGTTCGAATTTAACTTCCTTTTTGCTAATCATTTCGAAAAAAGTTATGAAGTATTTTTGCGTCGGGTATCGAAGCCGCACTATTCAATGGAAAAGACAAGAAAGCGGTGGTTGGTAAAAAGGAAAAAAATTATGAGGCACTATTACGTTTGGTGACGCTCACAGAGTTGGAATGATTTGCATAAGCCTTGAATTTCAAATGGTTACAATCGAAAAAAGGTCATCAAACTTACGTTCTCGCATGAAATCATGAAGTACAAGATGAGGTAGAGAATAAAAATTGCGATGACCACAAATAAGCATACTGCTCCATACGCGATTGTCACGGGGATGTCTGCAATCAACAAACTAAACGCAGCACACAGATCATCTAGACAATGCACCAAGAGCCACAGCACCCATTAATACAACCAGCTAGCATTCACTAGCCGTAAAATGGGGGCAGTATTCGGTTTACAAATCATTCGTTGTTTATCAATGACGGTTGATAGAGAACAGAAGCTTGAGTAAAAATGAAATCAACGTTGAATCGTATGGGGTTCCACTGCGTGCTTGTTAAAGACAATACTTTGCGTTGTACTATACTATATTACACTATACTTATATTACTCTTTCCCGTCCAGATACTGGGTAGCCTCAACTCAAATTCTGTTTTCCAACCTCCCGCTAGTGATGTTTCACACATAATGGAAGAAAATACCTCGCATTGGTTAGCATAAAGATGCACTAGGTTGGCAACTAAACTTTGCCACTTTTTTTCGTAAGTCCGTTCTACAAATATAGCGGTCATTTTTGACATTGCCAATTCAAAGACTAGCTGAGTAAGTGGTAATAAAGCGCCGTATTCAAAATATAAATTCGAATGAAATTTGGTCCAGGGGATGCATAAATGATACTCGTTTCACGTAGTAGCTCGTGCTTTTTTGTAGGGTTACGAGAATTCTTCCACGGTACGATTGTGTACCCCGCCCTAACAACTGAATATAACAATCGTAATCAGCAGATCAAGATAGCCATTATGTAGGTTTTGATTTGACAGTCTCAACTCTTTGGCATTATGGATTTCCAACACAGAGCTGACGCGTTCTCTGGAATTCTCGAGGGTGCTAGAGAAGTCATTTTCAACGTACAAGTTTTTTCTCACTAACAGAGAAAGTGTTTTTGATCAGGGTGGTCTCTCCATGTAAATCTGACATTGTTTTGAGAAGCTTTGAAAGCTATTTCCATCTGCTTCCCAATGCATGCTCTAGGTAACGACTGTTACGGTCCCTACAGTGCTCTCTAACAAGGGAGGGTCACGAAGTCGAGGTGGCCGATTACTATTAGGTGGGTGCAAAAGTAATGCGCGTTTTTCTAGCCCTTATTTCAAGAAAGTCTCCATCGAAGTTTCTCCTATGAAACCTACACAGCATACTTTGAAGAAGCTTCTTTCATGCTCTATTCAATGGTGGTTGAAAGAAGCTTCTAGCCTCAATCGTTAAAAATTTATAGAGCTTCATACAGCCGCACTCGAAACCAGAATTTCATTGCACTCAGTTTTTTGGCCAGAATTTGAGCGCGAAAAATCGCAGTCTTTTAAAAATTTAACTACTGTATGTAGTAGAAATTTTCTACGTTATGCACGCTTTGCTGTTTTCTCAGAAATTATTCAGACTGAGATTTCGGTGCCCCAACATGAGTGATGGTTTTGAACATTCTGTGGCCCATAGATTTCCTTTGAAGAAGGCAATCGCCAAAGTTTTGCTCACTCCTGTAAGCGTAAGGGTGGACCTCAGGTTGACAGTTTTTGCAGAAACTTGGAAGCTGTTCAGTATACAGAAAATGAAAAATCTCCATTTTTTTGGGATTTTGAGGGCTACGAAAAAATGTCGAAAAAAGCGGACAATTTTAAATATTATTTTTTTCTTTTTTCAAATCTTCTTTGTTTGAGCCCCTTTCAACTTTTATTTGTACTATTGGCTTGCGGCTACAAGACAGTAAACTTTTCATTTATACCAACAAATCTTGAAGGAACTTATGATCAGTTAAAAACGAGATTTCCAAAAAAATTTTTTTTGCTTATCAATCCATATTTTTTCACCGTTTTGCGATATTAGCACAAATCAACGTGCGCTGTATAGAGAGAGGTTTGGTGCCTCTGGTGGATTTTGCCGCGCTGAAAGATATGGAGTTTTTAGAAAGTTATAGCACGTCAAAGTGAGAACTCGCAAAACGCGCATTACTTTTGCACCAACCTAATACAAACTGCAATCATCAGTGAGAGCTCGGAACGGTGATTCCAAATCTGTTTTCGTATCCGCAGAGCTTTTCTGAGAAGGAAGTTATGGGCATTTCTTAGAGTCGAAAAGTGTAATGGTCGTGATAAAATCAATTGTTGCAGCCTTTCTAGACGTCAAATGGGGAAATAGGAAGTACCGAGATACTAAGCAGAAAAAGTTTATTGTATACAGCATTCTGATATTTGTTGCTGCTTCATTTAAGGTCCAGAGTGCCTGCAGCAATAGATTTTATCGGGCCATTAGTTCATTTTTCGACTCCAGAAAATGCCCATAACTTCTTTCCCAAAAGCGCTTTGCAGATAGAGAGGGCAGATTTGGAATCATCGCTCCAAGCTCTCACAAATTGTGCAGCTTGTGGCGATCGTCCACTTCGACTTCGTGACCCTCCCTTGTATTGAGTTTTAGTATCCTCAACAAAAAAGAATCATTGAGCTGCTCTCCGTTCAACAGCAAGCAGCTCAGCCATTCTAGACCATTTTCTCTCACTTGAATTCTTACAGTCGATGTCAACGATGTGCTACCTTACCGATCAGCTCAAGCGCAGCAGGCGAGTTTTCAGCGTTGCGCTTGAGCTAATCGGCAAAGAGCACATTGTTGACATCGACTGCAAATACTCAACTGTGAGAAAATGGTCTAGAATGGCTGTTTGCTGATGAACGTGAGAGTAGCTCAAATAATGGATTTGTTTTGTTGAAGATACCCAAACTCAAACTTGCACTTAGTGCGCTGTAGGGACCGTAACAGTCGTTAAATAGATTCTGCATGCATTGGGAAGCAGATTTAAAATCAGCTTAGAAAGCTTCTCAAAACAATTAAAATATATGTGGAAAGACTTCTAGATTACTACTCTACAAAGCACTTCCCTCGTCAGTGAAAAAAGAGTAAATACAACAACTTGCCTAGCACCCTCGAATCCGGAGAATGCGTCACTCTGCAGCAGAAATCCACCAATGCCAAATAATTGAAACTGTCAAATCAAACCTTGCAAAATTAATGAAAAATTAATTAATTAATTAATGAAATTAGCTACTGAAAATACTTTCATTCCTGAGACGCAGATTTGAAACCATTGAATCATTGTTTACGAAAAATACCCTGACCACTTCTCAGTTGAAACAAAAATGTGATGTTATCACTCTTTAAGAGGAGTGAGGAAGATTACTCGAAAGTTACTGTGAGAAAGCTTGCTTTATAGTTTGGTAAGTTTACAGGAAAATACAAGAGTGGAGAACGAACCGCAAATTGTAATGAAAGCCGTCAAGCATGAGAATGATTTGAGATTCGAATAGCTTCGATGACATCGCTTTGCTAAATTTAGAATCAAGTGAAGCTGCTGATGGATAAGTGGTAAAGCTGCTGATCATTGAAACTAGTTGAGAGGATGTTTTACCGAGTTACCGAATTACTACCCACTCCAGTTTCTTATCCTTTTCCCGAGCTGTGAAGCGGCGGTCCTGCAGCAGAACATGCGTTCCGAAATACCGCTAAGAAAATGTTGCATTCGATGCAGAGTTTTAAGTTTTACGCTTTTTCCCGTAGTTTCTACGCTTTTTCTATTTGACAAGTTGAAAACTATGTTTTGCAACTTGTTTCGAATCTTTACTGTCTATGGTTGTGCGCCCCAAACAATGGCATTGTGTACTATAACTGTGTACAAACTGTTCGATTTTGTACGCGAAATAAAACTCTCTAGGCGTTTCTCGTAAATTAGTGAATTTTGAGCTTCCTGGGGCTATAAGCAAGAATGAAGCCGTTCGTAACCTAGATAGTGCACACTGATCTGATATCACGAGTGACTCATTGTCAAAGGTTGACTCGTTTAGCTCAGTTAAAAAGAAGTATTTTAAGGTCTGGCACTCTCACAAAGCTGAACGAATCGCTGTTTGCAAGGCTGCTGGAGAAGATCTCAACTAAGAAGATGAAATTTCAAAATTCGCCGAGACTTCGCGTAATGGGGTTATTTGACCTGCCGAACAAGAATATCATAGTGATTTGTAAGTTAAAACCATCTTCTTGGTGAGACCTCATAAAATGAACCTACAGAAAACTTACGAAAAAAACTTTTTCCATGCAATTTCAATATCGTTTCGTGATCAGCGCGTCGGATAACTTCCCCCCCCCCTCACGCCAAGTTTCCGCCAGAACTGAAATTAATCATGATTTTCTCATTATATCATATACCCACCGTAACCCTCAATGCTACATTAGAATCAGAACCGTGGCTGCGCTTGTAGCTCAAGTCATACCTACATTATGGCAAAATTCTACATTACGGCAAAATTCAAGTGTCATACTGAAAGGGAAAAGTTATTGAAGAGGTTGCGACTTCCTCGATTGGACTATCAGGAAATGTGAGTCAGAAATGTCACGCTAGCAAGACTCAAGAAAAATACTATCGTTTATTCGTTGACCGTAACGACTGCTGACCGCGCGGCGACCGCTGCGCGTGCATGATGTTTTCGTAGAAAAGATGAATAGAAAGAAAACAGAGGATTCTTCTCATCTTTATAATGTAGAAAAGAAACAAAGAATTCTTCTCATCCTAAGCCACGGTCCAACTTGTCACTTTTTCGCAAGTTTAGAAGGCACGCGTCGCAGTCGCCACGCGGTCGGCAGTCCGTACGGTCAACGAATGAACGATAGATTATTCAAGCCAATTATATCTTTTTCGAATTTCGCTTCGACAAGTCCTTTTATTATATCTTCTTTATTATATCTTCGAAAACAAGTTCGCGATCCTGCTTACTGCAATTCCCAAGTGTCCTGAATTAGGTCAAAGTGCACGGTTTTAGTTTTAGATCGCTCCCAGTTTCTTCCGGCCTTGATTCTTTTGTGCTGTTCATCTCCCGGTCTAGTTTGTCTGGAATGTGACACGAGCCAAAGGTTGAAGACCATTTGGCCATAGTATTTATTTCATTAGCAGTTGTAATGGTAGATCTGTGAAGAAGTCTACTCGAGCTGCCATGAGCACCCGGGGTTAGTCATGCAGTAAGAACGTGACAAATGCACCTGTTTAAGCAATTACTGCGATCACAACTATCTCAAGCTTAATTTGCTTCTAAGGTCCGTCCTCGGTCATCATTTACTAGATCTTTTGCTTGCAATCGTAATATCAATCTAAAATATGAAAGCTAACCATTGAGATATGAACATGTCTAGGGAAGTGCCACGCATGACTGCACCAAGTGTTTTTGACATAAGGAACGTACCAGTTTTCTCTTGACAACTATGCTCACGAAGAAATTCTCTAATATCAGAGTTTTTAGGACTTAAATCTGCACGCTCTGTAGTTTTGCAAGGGATTTATGATAAAATTCTACAAGGCTGAATGGCGAAATACATATCATTATTGATGTAGGAGTTACTCATGTAAGAACTTACAAAAATTCACTTATCATAAGCCTCAACCAGTGACGGCCGATCGGGGCAGGGAAGAGGGGGAGGGGGGGGGGGGAGGGGCAAAATTTTATGTGTATGAAGGTGCGTGTCCTTTGCCACGCACTATGAATTTTTTTTAAAGGCTTTCCAAAAAATTTTCCGTAGTGCTTGGTTAGGTAATGTGCCCGCAAAAAAATTTTTTTGCGGGCTCATAACCTGACCTAATATAACCTTGAAATTTTAGAATAAGACGATATAGCGGCAACTCCTCGAAAATTACATGATTAATTTGAATTTTTCAACAAATCTGCAATTTTCTTTTCACTATCCAGAAGTATAAAGTCACTTGCGCATCTTTATGGACCATTTGAGAGACTTTTCAGAATTCCGCGACCGATTCTTGGTCTGTTCTGACCTTAACCTATCTTCTAGTTATGGTAGTACTTACGATTTCATTCATCAGTGCATTAAGTAGTAGAGGTCTAAATGTACTCGAGAAAGGGAAGGTGAGCCTCCAATAAGGCTATCCCGAAGGCGGAAATTCAATTTCACGCTGCCAAAAATTTCTACGCAGTTATGAGGAAACTTAAAAACTATCGGAGGCTCTCAACTACAAATACAAACCGTTTGATACTTACTCATTAGACCATTTTCAAAAGCATTTTTGGCCCCTCCCCCTTCTCTTCCGTTCAACACTATTTCGAACTTACGAGCAGTTCCTGGATGACTGTACTTTTGTTATTTCTTTTACATAGTTTAATCTCCGGTAGATTATGTAGATGCAAAACTGAGGGTGACGTCATTTTGCCAAGATGAGTTACGCTCATGAATTTCACTAAATTAATCATTGTACTTTTATACCTCAAAGCCGTCTAGGTCTAGTAGGATTAATGCCTAAATTGCGCACTCAATACGACGCTTGCCTCTTTTAAGTTTTTCTGTCAATCCACACATGCCACTTTACACAACTTCTAGTAGAAGCAAAGAAGTTATACTTCGGCAACGCGTCTTTGCTTGCAAAATTGTTGTCTTAGTTCATTTTCAGACAATTTTGAACCGTGCTGGACAAGTATAAGTCATTTGGATTTTACAAAGAGTATAAGCATGCTCGAAGGAGCAACAATCTATTATACTTTTTCAATTGTAATCATTGTAATTCAGAAAAATATGCGAATCGAATTTGACAAAATAGATTTTTGACACTCATTGACTACTTGTAGAGAAAAAACATGTTAGTATGCTACTGCGCACTCTGCCAAATTCCATAAAAGTTTGTGTTCGGGTATCCATGTCATTTGTGTGTAATCATCTCTTCCTTTACTCAGCGCACCTTCATCGGAGTTTGATGTGCTTTTTGATGCAATGAAGCACCGAATGACAGCAAGCGCTGTTCGACTCTTTTCCGCTAATATTTTGTTAATTGTCTCAAGTCTGTTGCTATATGAAAGTAATGCAAAAATTAAGATCCTTTCAGTTGAAGCGGCTAATATTCATGAAGCTAGGAAGCTTGTGCTAGCTTTCTGCTGAAGTTGTAGGCCTGAGAAGAGATGCGAATTGCGAACGGGTTGTTTTCCGAGAATCCTTGTTGCACTCCAAGTAAAAATGCTTTGAAAAAACCAGATCTTGCATGAACTGGTCCTCGAATTGTAGTAACCATGTTTTGAAGGAAGTCTTTCGCTATATGCTTTTATGAAGTTTTGCATTACATGTGATAGTACCAAAAGCGAATAAAATTATTGGATCTTCCTGAGGCGTTTCATACTTATATATTTTACTCGAAGATAGAATACAGGCTTATAATTTTCTGAGCATACAAAAGTGAAACTAAATTTTGGCACCCTGAGCATCGCTTTGAACGTCCGAACCCCATTCGAGCGAGTCTACTATAGGATTTGAATTCAGACACCTAATAATTTTAATACTTCTTTGATAAACTACGTAAGGCTACCATACCTATTCAGCACAAAACTGCATCGTTCTCCCCTATTTTTTTCGAAATATTGGTGACTTGTTATGTCCTTTTCTGACATTATACCCAATTAATCATAAATTCGCGCGGTGAGAGAAATATGGAGATTCGTTTTTTATTGAGTGTACCTTACATAGATTCTGAACTCACGTCTGAGGAGGAGATTTCACTTTTTTCGATATTCTCAGCTTATCCCAGTACTTCAATCCATCAAGCAGATGACACAACAGCACAACATCAAAGCTTCTTGTGATTATGGAGTGTCGCTTTTCTTCTTTGTTAATAACGAAGATTGTAAATATGCGTCTTTTTCAGTCATCAGAGTTATACTTTACCTGTAATTTTAGGAAACCCAGAAGTCTACGTGTGCACTCAGAGCGGAATAAACCCCTAGCAGCTACTTACTTTGGTATGTATATAGGCCCTATACCGAAAATTTGAAAAACCGTTCAAAAGCGCTCAAAAAGCCGTTTCTCGTACGAAATTTCCTGCACCATATAACATACATATCTATGGCATGTCTTGGATTGTGATTTGCACATAACATGATTCGAGAATTAAAATTTAAGATTGTCAGCTTTCCGTTCACGTCCAATCAGGACGAATCCAACGTATGGGAAGAGTAATCATAAAGCCCAAGTTAAAAGTATGAAAAAAGGGCGTTGGAGTTCTTAACATTTTCAGCGACCAACATAAAAAATATAATTTGAGTGTTCCTAGCAGCTTTAATAGCCATGACATCAACAACAGATTTTGCTTTAAGCGCCATCGGAATAAGCAAGCTACTTTCTTCGGTTATACCACATTGGCTCATTCTACAGTTTCTAAGGAAATTATGTGATTTTACCAATTTTGACGATTTTGGTGCAACAGTTTTTCCAGTTTGATAGTTTCTTTGATAGAAGAATGGTCCTTAGCTACTTTAAAACTTATGCATTACCAAATGACCTGCTGAAACCTCCCATTACTTCGGTACTGCTCATGATCCTGCCAAATGCGAGATTACAGCGGTCGTCTTATGTTGACTGCAGTAGAGATGTGTTTTTTTAGACGCTGTCGAAGTAAAAGCAAGCGCATTGTACATTTTATGTGAAAGAACCGAATAGTGTCCTTTCACTTTGCGATTACCTTCTATTTAAAGTATGATTATAGACTTGCCATGGCGCTATGACAAATCATAAGTTATTACTTTTTTTGCGAAGAAGCACCTCATACACATCATAACTTCTAACCCATACTTTTGCTTCGATTGCAGACGAGCGTCTTTTTTCGGATCAGCGGAGCATCACGATCGCTGTGTCGGACACTAAAACGCCAAAATTCGTCATATGAAGTCATCCAATTTCGCTGAATGCGATTTACTTCTTCAGAAAGGAATAGGCTAGGTTACTTCTCCCCACGCAGTGCACAGCCTTTATCGTTTTCAATTTTCTAAACATGGGTGTTGCTTCAAGAACTTCCATTCCTTGACAAGTCAAATTCAGTTATTCATTTTCACTCATGATTTGATTGACGCTCGCCTCACCATATCTCATTTTTCAAGGTTTTACCTCTTCAGGTCCACAAACAAATGGTCATTTTACGCGTGCTAATCCCAACTTTGTTATTTACAGCTGTTAACATCGCAATGAGTGGTAAGCGATTAATATGCTGCCCAAAATTCAAGATATACTTTACTTACAGAGGGAACGTATTCGGAAGCAAAGTGTCGCGAATTATTGCGAGATTGTGATGAAAGAACATGTCCATTAGAAGCACTGCTTCTATGTTCACCAGGTAATCAAATCATCAATCAGTACTAACACAGATTTTGATACCCAACTGTTTTTCTTGTATAGATGTTCAAATTTTAACGGACTCCAGACTGCCAAAAAGTTTGCTGCTCAACAAATGCCAAATCATATCATATATATGAAAATCTTGATTGCCACAATCTTCATTGTGGTTCACCATGTAGCCAAGCCTGGGTACTCATGCACCAGATTATTTATCTGTGCACCCGCTACATGAAATGAAATTTCTAACGTCAATATAGTGATTTTTCGGAAGGTTAATAACGATGAAATTGTTTTTTACTAATGTTAGAAAAATTCAAATTATTTATACAGGGTGTCCCAAAAGTATGTATACACTGTTTAATCGTTGATATTTTTCCCCAAGAAGTCTTTTGCTTACCTTTAAGCACCATTTTATAGAACTGGCTTCAACTTAGACTTGCAGTATGCAGCGAATCACCGGTCACTCTTCATTATTTTAAGATTACGGTAGAAAATTCAAGAAGAGTTGTGAGCCATCAAGGACCCTATTTCGGGAGACGGTCTTTTCGCACGGGTGGTCTCCAGAGTCTCCCTGATTTTGACGTGTCTTAACAAGTAGTGCACGCCGCAAACCTTTCCTCCCCCTGTTTTGCTTAGGCAAAAGCCGCCGCAGGGTGTGTCGCGCGCGGCGGTGGTCCTGTGTGGAAAGCATTACGGTCGTGCGAATCGTCCTACACCCCCCTATTCCGCCTCAGGAAGCAAGCCGGACAACTAGAGAACTCTTATGCTATACCAATTGAAGCCGCTAATACCAAATATGATGTTTGCACTTTACCGCAATGCTTTCTTCATAAGATATGCCAGGTAGACCGCACTAGCTGTTTTTACAAAACTCCATAAAATCGTGACTATACCTTTTAAAAGCTTTGCAAACTCGTGAAAAGTTGAATAATAAAATCAGCAGGCATGAAAACCCTAGTACACCACTTTTCAGATTTTTCGAAAACTTTTTTTGGAACAAGGTAAATCCGTAATGACGCTATAAGCTGAAATTTCCTACCGTAATCTTACAGTAGTGAAGGAATGATCCGGATTCGCTCCATACTGTAAATCTAAGTTGAAGCCAGCTTTAAAAAATGGTGCTTACAAGGGAAGTTCACTTATTCAAAGTGGCGAATCGGAAGGAGATCTATACCAGTGGATAGAGCTCAAAAGGCTGATCTCAGATATAGAATGTTTCCGAGTGTTTTCCGACCATAATGTTTATTCATAAGCCGTCATTTCCTTCCTATATCACACTTCCATTATATATACGAAAAAGAAAGCCCATAACCTCCATCTAGAAGAACGCGTCGCAGTTATTGAAGATATATATGAGAACATCGCTTAACGTTATATCCATTGGCAGTTTCCAAAAAGTTTCCGAAGCGACGCGTTTTTCTAGATGGAGGTCATGGGGTTCTTTGTATACATAATGGAAGTGTGATCTAGGAATGAAATGGCGACCTGTGGATGAACGACATGGTCGAAAAACAGTTGAAAGCGTTCGGATAAACTCGAAATAGATCTAAAATGCTTATTAAGTGGTTTGCTTGAGCTTGCACACTTTTGTGTGGCGATTGTCATGATTTTGCGACTCAGAATGCACGAAAATTTGGCTTTAGAAAAGCTTTTTTCAGAACAACGCATCGCAGATATAGAAGGTATATCTAAGATCAGCTTTTTAAGCTCTACCCGCTGGTATAGACCTCCTTCCGAAATGCCACTTCGACTAAGTGAACTTCCCTTGTTAGAGGTGAGCAATAGACTTCTTGAGAAAAGAGATATCAGCAATCAAACAGTGTTTACATACTTTTGGGACACCCTGTATCAGTGTTCAAGAAATGTGGCAAATGTTTGACCTAGTAGACGTCTTGTCTGAACAGCTTCCGCGAGTCTTTAGAACCATAACGTACTGGCTTCAACTCGCAATTAGATTCACAGTAGAAAACGGATCACTGATACTTCTCCGTTACCGCAGAATTACGGTAAGAACATTTGGTTGGGTTTTTTATCAATGTGTGCGTTCATGCACCAAGAATCGTCCATTAGAACTAAAACTGTTGTCCTTTGTTACCAGTCTAACTATCCTTGCTATTCATCAAAAACTTTTTGATACTGAGCAAGCAGTCTTTTCAATGATGATCAAAAATATATTGTATATGTATACTGTATAATGTCTTAACTGCTCTACGAACGTGTAAGAAGTTAGTCCTAAGAGCGGGTTCAAAAATTTCACCAAAAGAGTTTTCATCGTTTCAAATCTTTGAAGAAAGATGATTTGTAACGACGATATTGTGCTGGATGTTCCTACCATCCTACACTGATGAAGAAAAATGGGTAGCTCGTTCTGTACAGTGAATTTAAGGGCAGCAACACCCCCGGAAATTTTTTGCAAGGCTAATTTGAATTTTAATAATTTTCAAAAATTACAATTATTTGCAAGTAAAAGCAAGTCCTCTGCACATTTTTATAACACATTTTTATAACACATTTAAGTAACTTTCAAAAATTTCGCGACCTATTCTCGAGGAGGGGGGGGGGATGCACCCCCTCTTCCCCCTTGGTACGCCACTGGTAGCAATCTGCCTCGAAAAGATTGCTTCGGATTCGTATCTACTTAGTAACACTTTTACATATTGAAGCTTTGATTGACATGACCTTGCCATCTGAGGCAAATCATCTGAATGTGAAAAGTGGCAACTGCAAGAAAACGTTTTCAAACGAGCCTGCCAATAGTTCTCACAGGCGCAATTTTAAAGTGTATAAAAATCATTTATATCTATGGTTTACAGATACGCAGAGTCCAATGCGTGGCTGAGAATTACCCTTGGTTTTTTATAGCTTAAATCCTCACGCTACATATTGCAAATTCTTATTTCACTCATGTACAAGCCGAATACATTGGAAAGAAGAAATAACGAAAGTCTTACACTAATTTTACTTTTAGATTCGATACGATTTGCAGAAAAGCGAGCAACGCGAAGAAGCATACGTCAGATTCTAGTGGACAGCTACCTGAACCGCTTATGATAGAAGTGTCTTGTCAATGGTTTCCTCTCCTTTTCTCAACAAGTTAAGGATAACAACAAATTGCCAACATTCCATATATATCCGAGTCTCATGGTTTTTTTTCCAGGATTTTCGTCCCTATTTCTGTCGCACTTTCTTGACTCGTTGTACTATTAAATAAAGGTATTGCAGTTGATTCTTTGTAGAAGTTTATATCGGGTTACTTCATACAGGTGTATTTTCAACATTTTGCAAAACAATTTCACGCCTAAGGATTCGTTGAAGTACTTGTTTGGATTTCAAATTTGAATTAGATATGATAATTCGAATTATTTTCTATTCCATAAAGTAGGACTAGAACAGAATTGAAGCAAATTAGTCAGAGTGTTTTTAGACAGAGATGCAAATCCATTTATTGACGAATGAGTGATGGTCATGCAACTGATATAGTATTCAATTATGCCTAAATTCATTCCCCGAGTAATGTTGATCATAATGATTCAGCAGTAGGAAAAGAGAGATAACTTAAGATCACACTGTAATAGCACATAAGCCCAACATTTGAAAATCGCAACATAAAAATTTCATAAGCGGTGAAAAAATCTATGCTACGGATAAGTAACAACAACAGTATAAAGAAAATGACTTGTTTTTATATGCTTACATTTGGCAAAAGGGTGGGTGCAAAAAATGAGTTTAATACATATGATTCATTTTTTCAGGCGCTACAATGCGCGTAATCACCGTACGACCTTTTTTCAAACTTTATCTGATTGCCATAAAGAGGTCTGATGATGAGTTCGGCTGCCACACGCATCTGATCAGTCCGAAGCAAGGAGCGTACTCTCAGATTACGCATTATCATTGCCAAGATGCACTTCTCTTCCATGATGGCGAAGCGTTGCCCTGAATAGTAAAAATACGATACAAAATAGTAGTATTTGTACATAGTATAAAATTGTGCATAGAAAAGACAGAAAAATCTGATGCGAAAGGGAGGTTTTGAAAGAAAGACCCACAATGTGTCTCTCTATAAAATTACTAGCTGGCTTACCCGGCACCGCTCGGCCCTGTCAAAACACTATGATAAAGCTTCCATCCCTAGCCCTGCACAACATTTCCCTGTGCCCACTTCTACATGCAATCCTTATTCCCGCTGTGCTAGTAACCAGCATGCTCGCTGATCCCCTGTGCCTCCCAGTCCCGTAGCTCAAACTTTGCAAAAAAGTCGATAAAAATCCATAAAATTAATGGATAATTTCAAAAACTGATACTGTATTCGTAATCAGCATGCTCAACTACCCCCTGTGCCAACTCCCAGCCCCGTAGACCAAACTTTACAAAAAAGTCGATAAAATCGATGATCGATGGCGAAAAGTAGCCTATGACACCCGCCCTGCCCCGAAGTGTATGTGTCAAGTTTGGTCCGAATCTGTTCAGAAATGGAGTTTTCTATTTGGAACATACGTACATACAGACATACAGACATACAGACATATAGGCTGCTGCATGAGAAGGCGCAATATCTTTAGGCGCAAATGCGGTTTTATTAGCCGCAGAGCGCATGAGGCGAAACAATTACAACGGTGAGGATACGCGCGCGCCTCGTTCGCGCCCGCTCAAAAATACTGCTTCTGCGCCTTCGTCATGCAATAGCCTTTACATACAAACAGACATTCAGCTTTATGTATAAGATTATTTTGATTCAGACGCTGTCGCCGAAATCTAGAAATTTTTAGAATTTCGGCATCACTTCTTGAGTAGCAGTCACAAGCAAATTCTTCTGGACAAGAACAAATATAAGAATTTACTTATGTTAGATCTGATGGAGATCAGTGAAACCTACCAAAATCAAGTCTTAAGTAGATGAATTAGGAAAAAAATCCAATCAATTCATTATGAGTGGACTTGCTATACATCTACAATGTTTTGCTATAGAATGGTGCGCTTTCACCTAATAAACGTGCATATTCTACTGTCATGTTTTGAAATTCGATTTGTGAAGGATGCCAGCAATTTTAATGGTCTATATGCTATGAAAAAGGTAAAAGGGGGACATGGATAGCTCAGCTTTTGGAGGACTATAACAAAATATCAATATAAAATTTTTGGATGTTACTCGCGACAACGTTGTCCCAGTATCTAGTGGAAAGCAGAGATATAGCAGAACCCAAGAGCAGAAGTCGCGCGGTAAAACTTAGTGGCAGCGTCGTCGTGGGATCGAGAGCTGACATCCGAATAACTAGTATGGTATAGGCCCATTTGACTAGAATGAGAGTGGCAGTATGCTTATGAAAGGAGAAATCACTAGTGACTCCAAGCTTCAACACAGCCGCCCCTAGCCAATCTCATTCCTACTGAAGGCAGGAATTCGTGCAGGGGCACCGTTATGAGCACCTGTCATTAGCCTGCCCGCCTCTTTTTTTTCTGGAAGTCAGGGTGTGTTCGCGCTTCCTCTTGTTTCAGAAACATTGTGCCCTTGGGCTAAAGCCCTAGGTAAGAGGCTCACTAAAGCAAACAACACCTAAAGCAAACAACACCGGACATCAACATTGAGGCTGTGCAGAGTTTTGCCGCTAAGTGAGTTTTAGATGATTTAAAAACTTGGCTACCTTAATTTCACGCGTATAAGGCGCGGGGGATTTTTTTCCAAAATCGACCAGCCCAGACAAGCCAAAGGACTTTACAACAAAAGGACCCTATAACGTGCTGTCTATTGCTTGGGAGAATCGTCGGGTGTAAGGATTTCTTTCCGGAATACAAAGCGACTGAGCGGCTCGCTCGAAAATTCGAAATAGTGCGCCTTATACGCGTGAAATTAGGATACTTGTAACCCCAAGGGCAGCCTATTTACCGCCACTGACAGGGAATGTTACCTGCACTGTTGCTTATGGCATGCCCTTTGCAAGCAAACCACCATAAGCGTAATGCTAAGCCAGAGATGGTCAGTAATGATTGAGTCACTTAAGCTGCATCTGGGCTATGCCTTGTTCCTTCAAATTCCACTCAACAATAGTCAGTCATATAAAACTGTATCACATTTAAGTGGGACATTTGCGTGAGGCGTGAAGTTGTTGGTCAACTGATCGTAATTCAGTAGCAAATGATAAAGAAACTGTGCCATACCTATACAATTCCTGCTGCCAGCTGAGAAAGGAATGTACGCATATGGGTGTTTCAACTCTCCATCCACGAATCGATCGGGCCGGAACACTTCGGGATCGTCCCAGTAGTTCGGGTCGCGATGGACCATTGACGGTACCAAGACGACACCCGTTCCAGCAGGAAGAATGTGATCTTCTGCAAAATGGAAGGCTGACAATATGGAGAAACATGGTCCAAAAACTCACTAATCTTGATGTCTTCCACAACTTGTCGAGCTATGAGCGGAACGGAGGGATACAGTCGTAAGGTCTCTTTTATGCATGCTTCAAGGTACTTCAAATTTCCAATGTCTTCATAAGTGACAGGTCGATCTACTTCGCCCAACACCTATAAAGCATGTTACATTTCTTCTACTACATGCAAATGCAAAGCGTATCTACCTCGTCTACTTCCCTATGCACTTTCTCTTGAATATCTGGATTTGCTCCCATAAGATGAAGGAACCAATTTATGGATGCTGAAGTCGTATCATGCCCCTGGAAAAAGAACGTTCTATAGGTCCACATTGACCATAAATGGCAGATGACCTCAAAGGTAAATGTATCCACTTCTTCTTGGACTCCGTCCATACTCAACTCTCCCTTCGCATTCATATCAAGCATCATATCCAAGAATGCCATTCGGCGACGTCCTTAATGTAAACCATGTGTATTTTAGTACGAATGATTAATTTCTATACAAACGAATGGTGTCACTACCTCAGCAGCCAAATTTACCAGCGACATTTATATACCACCTATCATTGCCCATTTTGAGACTTGCCACTTGTTAAATGCAGTTTACGAGACCAACAACGGGGGTCACGGAGTCGAAGTGGCCGACCGATAGCAACAAAATGTATACCATTAGTGAGAGCTTGGAGATCCATTGGTTCATTTTTTGCGCGTCAAAAATTATTCATAAGTCCTTTCCCGAGGGGGTTCTGCAAATAAGGAAAGCAGATTTGAAATCAGTTCTCACTAATGGTACGTAGTATGTAGTGGTCGGACCTCGACTTTGTGACCCTCCCTTGTTAGTTGAATGAGTCAAAATAAAAATAGCAAATTCGATTCTGACATCTCAAGGTCCAGATCCAGTACGTATTACATCTTTGTGCAATTTTGACTACGGGCATTAGAAGCCTTTTCAAGATTAACCCAACAAAACTCTATAATTCACGAGGAGCAACCAGATAAGTGAAAATGAGCGGCTGCTCAAGTTCGGTAGAAGGCAAAGGCGCAAAATTATTTAGCAATGAATTTCGTAGGTTTACGGCATTTATAAACTCTGACGATGGTGGTCTGACTGCTCGCTCAGCAGTTCCGTCAACGGCATTTGATTGGCTTTCGTCTTTACTCGAATCGTTTTTATGCTTGCATATAATAGCATTTGAATACCGTAAGCGATTAAGCAGAGACTGAAGTAATGCTTTTTGCCTGTGTGCTTTACGCTCTTGTGATGTTATGGTGGGTGCAAAGGCTGCATGGTGTCATCTCAATTTTATGAAGGGCCTGTACTTCTCTTGACCAGTTTATTTTATTTAGTTTCAATTCAACCGAGGTGGCCTCAGTAGAAGTCATTGGGCTTACCCAATAACGTATTAGCCACTTTTGGCGAGGCCGGGAGCACTGGTTGCTGCCGCGTTATTTTGCGCGATTACGGTACTTTCTCAAGCATGGCATCGCCTCCGGATCTTCTCCTTGCCTTGACGCGTTGCAGCAAAACGCCTATATATAGCGGCGCCTTATTGCAGAGTCTGTCTGCTTTCGTTTTGATCAATAACCTTTCCTCATGTTTTCCATTGTGCTCGTGCCTGTCATTTTGGCTCCCGCTTTTGATGTCACTTTTGGTAGCGGTCGAGCGTATCGGAATCCATAGAGGATTGAAACAAGATGGATTCGGACTAATTTCGGACGGGCCACCTTTGGGATTTATGGGCCTTATGAAAATAACATGTGAACCTTCGGAGCGGAGGAGCTGTCGTGCCTGTCATCTTCAGGGACGCGCGACGGACGGTATAGGTGAAGCCTCGGGAGCACTATCAATATTGAAAGTTCTAGTAAACGCGCTTTATCGATAGCACGGCAGCTCGTCCCGTGTTGAGCTTTATATTTGTTTAGTAGTTTATTTTCAGTTTTAGTAGTTTTCTGTGTCGTCTAGTTACAAGTTTTTTTGTAGTTTTAATAAGGATAGAATCTTAGTATTCAAGCTTTTGTCCAGGCGCGCGATAGGGCAAGTTAGTAGGGTAGGATGAGTCATATGTTTGAAAAGCTCAAGTCTTGGCTACTCGGGTTAGAATATAGGTGCTAAGAGCCCTCCGACAGCCACACCACTACTGGATTTTGTTGTTTGATACTCACCTTGTTCAGTTTCCAGTGCAAGTAATTTGTCAACACCACCTGCAGCATCAGCTTTCGCCTTACGAGCTCGTATCACCTGCAAGGGTAAAAATACGTGATAAGTTATGCCATGTGTAGTGAATCGTTGATGATCGAATGCAGAGGCACGAAAACCGGAGAATAAAATACGACTACTAGAGAAGTTAATGATAAAATTTGAAATTAAAAATATAAAAAATCCAAAGTTCCTCTGAGTTTTGGAAAGATCTTTAGTTTAAACTGTATCATACTGAGCAGATATGAAACCGCGACAGGAAACATAAAGAAGGTACTAGATAATCTATTATGAATTTCTAAGAAAAACGATGTTTAGAAAATTTTTAGTTTCTTAGATGTTACTGTGAAAGATGCCCTGGCCAATCAAACTCACATTTCCCGTAAAGTCATGCAAGATCTTCACACAACGTGCTTGTTCTTTGCCATCTCCAATCAAGTTGAACAAGAACTCAGGATAATACTGAGGGTTCACTTGCCGCTTTTGAAGCAAAACTTTCATTCTAAAGATTATTCAGTCAGATGTTTGTCGCATCGCGTGTGATAGATAGAAAAAAACCTGAACACAGCTTCCAGATAATCGGATTTTGGATTTTTCTGAGCATCGATGCAAATGCCAAGCGCAGCCTCGCAGATCACATCGAGAGTGCATAGAGTGACTGTGTGGAAAATATCTTCGTATTTATCGCTTTCTGCATGCTTCAAGAATTTCCCAAGAAGTGTTCTTCCATGACGATTGTATACCTGAACCATATAGATGTGGAAATATGGTTGGTAGGAAATAACCCCATTTTTCGTCACAAGTAAAAATTCCTGTAATTAGATTTGGCAAATGAAAAGCGGCCCGGTAAAGAATAGTTGTGCCGAAGAGAAAGAATAGTGGTTCATGGCAGCCACAATTTGACTCTGCTTCTCGTCACATTCTAATTCTGAGAAAAAGAAAAAATTTCTTGGTAAGATGTAGCTTATACTAGGAAAAATTACCGTATTATCGCGACCCCCTCTCAATGAGTAATCAACATATTCAAGTACTGGGAGAAGCAATTTCTCAACAAAGTCACTCTATCCTACAGTAAATCGTTTACCTCCACAAAATCTTTGAGAATCTCGTAGTGGAACGTCGGCGTGAGCAGCTTGCGTCGAGGACGCCATTTGTCTGGCTTACTGGAACAAATAGCTTCGATGGTCATTCTTATATCGTAAACTCTAAATGTCCAGCAATTGCTCTTCTCGACCACGATGCTTGCGTCGTTGTGCCGTCCCCCCCCCCCCCGCCCCCACACCGCCCCTCTTGCCCTCAGAAAACAGAAGACTTACCATAAGGTGACGGTTCTGTAATAATTTTATCTTTGACTGGCGTTTTGACCATAAAAATTTGTGAAAAAAGTTCTGCAAATCATTTGAGAGCTTTTGGGATCAATTGCTAATGATGCACATAAAAAGAGGGGTTCCGATGACTTTTGGATTTTTGGATATTTTGTCACACCTCGTTTTGGCAAGACTTAGAAGAGACATTGCCCTTGTAAGCTTCTAAAAATTATAGTAGACAAAACTTATAAGCAGTAGCAGAGAAAATATGCAAAGACATAAAGAAATTTTGAGTACGACAAAACTGTCATTTTGCTGATACCAGTGGAGAGACCAGTTTCATTCTCAAGTATAAAGCAATACTAATCTTTGGAAAGCTTCTGAAATCCAGAATGAGAAAGAAGGCAGTCGAAATTAACCGCGACTTGATGTAAGTTGATTGGCGTGAGGTCAGATTATAAACAAATGAGAATCGCTTGATTGAGCCCCTCAAAACAGTTCAAAGTCTAAAGTGTGAGCGGAGATTTCGAAACTGACATTCAGAGCAATAGAGTAGGAATTTTTTTTGTCGTAAAAGAATTCGTTCATGATTGCATCGTGTCCAAAGATCATGTCATGCAAAGAACCCAAACTGTCACTCTTTGCATGACTTCCAAACTGACCTTATCAGTAATCCCTGTCCAATCCATGCTGAGAGAAACGCATACTGAATTGGCTTGTTCAGCATTTTGCTGCTACCGAGAACTGCTTCGCATTCTTCTGGTCCATATAAAAGCACGTGCGGTGCCGCTGCAAAGGTCAAAGAATTCAATAATTCCTAGTCAACACTTCTCCCTCACTTGAAGCTCCACAAACCAGCAGAATTCATAATTTTTTGATAGACGGCAATGCTGTCATGATCATTATGAACATATATGATATCCAAAAAGGAAGATATCAGAGGATTAAAATCTTAGTTATGGGGTCATATTTCCTTGTTTCGGAAGATTATTTCCTTGAACATCTGTTGTGGTGAAACGAGATACAAAAATGCATTAAAAACAAGAAGAAATTCTATGCTTCAGCCATTGCTTGACTTCACCTATCCTTCGTGCAAATTAATCAAAATTGATTTGCTTTGAAAATCAGCTTTCCGCATGCGGTACAACTCGCACTACATGTACTACTCTGCAGTCTGCAGTTTCCCGAACATATAATAAAGTACAAAAACTTATCTAAAATATCTAAAACAACAAGTGTGTAGCAAAAAGCTTGCAGCTGTCAGCGCTCTCTTATAGGGAATTTTTTTCAAATTTTGGGAATTTCGTCGTTATTGCAAGATTCGAAGACAGCAGTAAACATCGAACGAAGTTCTTAGAAAAAAAGGAATAGATTCTGAACTGTGATGCCGAAGTCACTAGCTGATCAAAATTCTATATGTTTTGGTGGAATAAATTGAAAAAGTAACGAAATTTTTGGTATGACCCAATACAACTCTGCACCGTCCGAAAATGATGATGTAACAGCCCTTTCTTGAATTACTGGGTTAAAACTGTATAATTTTGCATCATTGAGCAGATCTCATTTACTTTCCAACCTAGATATGCTTGAACTTATAACTCGTCAACTGAAAAAAAAAGTAGACACTCTGATTTCTATTTCGCAAATAGCAGTTCAAAATGTGTATGTGAAAGTTCAAGTACTTTCCTTTTCATCATTAGTCACAGTGTAAATTTTCACTTCCTTGTAGTCGCATTTTGATTTGTACTCTTTATGATTTGTTAGTTTATAAGATAGGTGACTTACGTCCAAACCACACTCTGCATATTCTTTCTCGTTTCCTTCTCAGCAAATACGCTAGTCCTTGTGCTTGCTCGAAGAATTCTGTAATTATGATTGTGGTAGTGGTGATTAGAAACATTTCGTATGTGTAGTAGTGTACGGAGTTGAACATGTGCTGGTGCTGTGCCATACGTGCCAGCACCGTGCCAGTCCCGTGCTGGAATTGACCAATGGTGGAGGCACATGCACATATGCTCCGACAATCACGGCGCTAGCACGCCCTGACATGGCGTCGGCACAACTCTGAACGCAGCTTAAGCACTGAATCATGGATGTGTGTTTTACCCACCTTCTGGCTTGAAATGGAATTGGTGAAGATTTCCTATGAGAGGCAATGCTTCTGGACCTTGGAAAGCTGACAGTCGATCGTAAATATACTTCGCCTTTCTATACACAAAGCTGGTAATCCACGTAATGACTGCCACAGCCAGTGCAATGGCTATGAGCCCCATTTTGAGAAATCAAAATCTAAACAGACATTTCAAAAAGAGCGATAAAAGAGCTGCTTTTCGGAAAACAAGATTGGGGCAGCTTCGGTGCATTTCGAAAAAAATATCTTATACAATGCTGAGATCTCATGCATAAGGCTGATCGGCACGATTCACAGTTAGAATTGATAGTGAAACTTCCAGCAAAGATAGAACCGACCGGAAGTTAAAAAGAGATTAGCTGTTTGTCCTTTTATTTCGGTACTCTACGAATTGGGAGATAGGACATCGCTTATCGCTACAAACGCAGATGTGCTCTTTTTTCGAAAATTGCAAATCTTCATGATTTGGAGATTCAAATAATTAAGTGAGTTTAGCAGAAGCGAAGTTTAGTTGTACTCTTTTAGATGAAACAAAAGTGCTACAATGTCCAAGTGTGGCCCAGGAGTCAGCGTTGATCAGAAGAGGGGGGGGGGACAGAGGGAAAGAGAAAGGCATAACGTCGCGAATGTTATTGGAAGTTGTCCAAATGTGATATAAGTAAGCATATAAAAATTTTTGGAGGAGCATCCGCATCCTCTCCTTCAACCATTGAGATCAGATGTTTAATTTTTGTAGAATCGCACGTTTTGTAGAAAATCAACGAATGTACATCATCAGAAGGTAGATCCGCTTAGAAATAATGTTGTCCCATTTTGGTTTGCTAATCCCTAACCATGCCTCTTTTTCTCGACTGATATAAGGCTATAACTTCCGCTGAAACCATGCACGTGTGAAGATTAATTATCAGGGAAGAAAGAAAAGTAAACTGCTAAATTACATCGAAGGCCACTTTCGATATGAGTGTTTCACTCAAAATAGTTTATATTAGACGGCCTGGACAATCTTGCAAGTAAATATAGAGTTTAATATTTATAAATCGGTTGTGGTCAAATTATTACGGTTTCTGCTTTGCCAGAATGAAATAATGTTACAATGCCAGATCAAATAATGTTACAATACAATCACAACCACTCACATTCAACGTGAACAAAAAACTAAGTCCACTTGATAAAAACACCTGACCTTGATTCTTAGAAACTTTAGCGATCCGGCAAAAGGAAAAGAAGACGCCGATCAGTTTTTTTACTAGTGACAAAGAGCCACTATCGACATGGAAAAAGGAACAAAAATGAACGAAAAAACATTTCAGTGAATACTTGCACTGGATCACTCAAATTGAATAAACTTTGTAGAACAGTTGAAGCATGTAAAGTACAGTTGCAAAGTAGGCTGCTCATTGTCAATAATGCTCAAGGAATTTCTCGAACAGTTCATTTATATTCTCGTTATAGACCAATATATTATAGATCTATTAGGTTGATTAGGTTGCAGCGAAAGTTCTGCCTTTTTGATCTTGAAAAGTTCGTAAATCCCTATGTGAATCTGTTCATTCACAAAAAATATCTCCACATAGAAGAATTTATTTAATTTCTAATAAGAACTTTGCGGCTCTTTAACGACAAGAGAAACCAGAGATAAAAATTCGAATAGGAGAACCAGTCTGGCTTTTGATTCAGATAAATTGTCAAGAATTCTGTAATGCTGCAGAGAAATTTAATGACATGTCTCTTACACTTTACTAAAGCTGCTCTTTCTAACAATGTTAAGTTTGTGCTGCGAGCTTTCCTATGAGAGCCTATGATTTTCATGAAAAATGCAAAAAACGGGAGAAATGACGTTTACTGCATTTTTCCACATTTTTCACAACGCGTAACTTCTCATAAAAAAGCTCGACAAACTTGGCACTGTTGGAGTAAATTGTAAGAGACATGTTCTCCAATTTTTCTGCAGCGCTTCGAATTTTTGACGATTTATTTTCCAATCCGGAGCCAGAGGAGGTCTCTTATTTGGATTTTTATTTCTAAGCAGTCGTCAAAGAGCCGCAAAGATGATGTTACGAAGTAGATGAATTCTCTTTCAAATAAAATTTTTCCATGTAAATACATTCACTGGGGAGCAGTTACGAGCTTTCAAAGCGACAGAACTTTCGGTCCAACCTAATACAACACTATGAGCAAGAATGTTTTTCCATCTTCGAAACAAAAAAGGTCAAGTTCACGAAATTCGCTTGAATCATCAGCGAGCGGGATATTCCATTAGATCAGTTCTTTAGCCTTCAACACTAATGGACGAGGGGAAAAAACATCGGAGAGGTGCAATTAAAAAACCTACGTAATGCCGAAATGAAAATTGAGATTCAAATTATTAAAATTTCTAGAAAAGAATAATAGATAAATTTCAACACGAGACATGTATGTCATGCTTTATTTGTTTGCAAGTTTAGAATCGATGGATGAAGTCGAGTACAATAAGATTATTTATTTGCACCTACATTGCTTGAGGTGAAATCAAAAATTTTATGCGCGCTATAGGATCGTATCAAGTTGTCCCATAAATCTTGCACCAACAACTTGTGAAACAATAGTTAGGAATTAAAAACTATTTTTCAAAAGTCTTTTTCCTGTGCATTTGAAGTCTTATACTACGCATAAACCCTAACGGAATAAGATCAGAAAGTCAAACAAAAAGTTTCAAAGGACTTCCCAGCTTTTGTTCAATCCATTACGGTACCGATTTTTCTTAATTGGAATAGCTGATCATAAAACCAAAATCAAAATTAGAATAAATTTCTTTGGGCCTTTCAGTATTCTTGACCGACATGAAAGGAACCATTTAAGGTATTCGGTTAATTTTTGGTCCGGTATGAAATTGATTACCGTTGCTAGCAATGATTTCGCCGTTGAGCACTACTGGAAAGGTGGTCACTTATCTCCTCCGACAATTCTATAAAATGATTCGGTATAAATGAAGAAGCTTGAATTGATGAAACACTTATGGGGCACCCGCAAAAGAATGAACATGGTGAATTTTTCAGAATAGTGTGGCAAACGCGACGGCTGGATATTTTTGACGTTGAACTTAAAAGCATCAATGAAAGTTGTAAAAAAGGATAAAATTGAAAGAAAGACCATTAAAATCGGGACAAAACATACGCATGAGTGCAGCACACAAGCTGAGCTTTGCCTGCTTGAAATTCATCATGTCTAAATACCAATAGCTTTCAGAAGTAAATATTGAAAGATTATGACAATCTTATGAAGTTTAGACTATCGCTATGCATTCTATTGAGCACCTTGTATATGCGCGGTGAATCTGTTTTGACAGATAGATGCTACAATTATTTTTTGGAATGATAATCATTCCATTCTTTAACACACAAGGACATCCATCACGGAGCACATGAGAGAAAGGTGATTTCGAAACGTCAGCGAAAACAAGAAATTCGTGGGAAACAGTAAGAAAGTTTCTATCTAAGAGGGTCAGCTTTCAAAATAGTTTTGTGCTTAGTGCTTAGGGTCTACTTCTGATTTTACTGTTGCACGCTGTAAATCAGCTAATTCAGGTTAACATTTTGTGCAAAGAATAAGTTTAGAAAAAAAAAAGAAAAAGAAAGGAGCACACAGTGGAATGAAAAACGCATATAGCCGGGTAGAGTAGCAATAACTAGGCTTAAGCCCATTTACTCAGGTACAGTTTGAAACACAATAGATGACAATAGGAATGAGCCAGAAGGCATGTTCGATTGCTGAAAAATCAAAAAGGTTCGAGAAAAGGTTTGTAAACGTGTGTTGGTATGGTATATATCAGGCTACTTTTGAGAAGGTGGACCTTTCAAGTGTGACGGAGAAATGAGAATTAATGAATGCTAAGACAAGTTAAAAGCAAGCCGAAAGATGATAGAAAATCTTTGCCTACTCTGAGTCAGTAGCCTCGCATTCTAGGCCGTTACTTTGAGTTCAATACAGACCGTAAAACTCGGTGAAAACAGTTTTGGGCAGGCCTAAACTGAAAACGAACTGCGGGATGAAAGAAAAATGGAGGGTAAAAGAAAAAGCCTGTAATCTCAAGAGCGATCGTAAATCATAATCATTTTCTAGATGATGGTCACACGGCAAGTAGCAAAGTGCACGACTCCATTCTAGCTCTCTCTCCTTGCAGTAAAGAGAGACCTTTCAGCGATCGCTTTCATGCGCGAAAGCGAACGTATAAAAAATTCCGCTTATCTCGTCCAAAGAGTAAATTTTCAGCGATATGCATCAACGGACTACGAAGAAATTGCCATCGAAGGTAGTAGAGAAAAATGCTCGATTACTGCGTCAGCTGGGAGAGAGTTCGATAGAGGACGAGCGACAGGGTTTGGCCGAAAAGAGTGAGAAACTCGTTCGGCTTTGGACGAGAACACTCGGAGCGCCGAACACGCGCATATGCTATCTAGCATATCCGCCATCGCATGGTCACAAGCTGCTCGCTATTCTCAGATAAGCCAAGGCTACGTTATACTTTCATTTAATTACAGCAGACCACAAAACATAGGACAGAAAGTTGTAACAAAGCAAAGAAAAATCTGCCCTTTGCCCTTCCAGAAATTCTCATAAGGTGGTATGACGCAAGAAGTTGCCAAGTGTAATGTACCTGTTTTGGTATGCATGAAACCACGTACATCAAGTTCTGCACATGATACACATCATTACCAGTTTCTGGAACAAAAATTTTATCCTAAACATTAGTACTGCGATTGCGTACTTAAAGCTGATACGTAGCTTATGCTATTCTCAAAAGACAGCTATTGCGACAAACTCCGCGAACACAAATATTTACGGAAGGTAAATGCCATGTAATCTTCTCTATCTGAGGGTCGTAGACTTTAGTTTCGATAGTAACTGACCGCTAATCATGCAGTCATTCTATTTTCGATTGAGTGTAAGGAATAGATTGAAACGATGGAATCTGGATTTTTCTCCCTTTTTTTGTACGCTTTCACACTCTGATTTGAGAGCTTGGCGCCATGAAATGAGTTACCAAATGCGGCTTAAATGCGTTGGTTATTTTACTGTCGTCATATATCCCAAAAAGATTTCGGAAATAAATCAGAAAGTAATCCTGAGAAGAAGAAGCTAAGAAGAAGCTTGACTTAGTCCACACAAATAGGCTCATCGTATCT